GGTTTTACTTTTAGTTATCACCAAAAAGGCCTCAATCATTAGAGTTTGTGTGTGCTTTATAAACTCTTATTGCATCAATGTGGGACCTTGTTTGTCGGATCTTATTTGTATCCCAACAATCTTTTCCTCAAACAATGGATCCTAACCTCTCATCTAGTGGAATCTGTCTTTGTATATCATTTTATCACTTATCACTTTTTGTTATAACTTGTTGGTTGTCACCGAATCCAACCTGTGGCTCTAACCTATTGGGGTTATTTTTTTGGTATTTGTTTGAGGGGATATTTATATTAAGAAGAAGGCTATAACTTTGTTATTTTTATAAGGTTATTTCACACATAACTCCACAATGGTGAGATATCGCCCGCTTTGGGCCTAAACCTCACGATATTTTAGTTATCACCTAAAAAGCCTCTCAATCATTGAAGTATGTGTGTGTTTTGTAAAATCTTATTTATTTTATTGTTTTATCAATGTGGAACCTGGTTTGTATCGTAACAGATACCATACTAGAGGGAAAAAGGAAGGATTCGTTGTTTGTTTTATATCTAGGAGAAACTTTTGTAAAAAGAACCAACCAAGCTGATAGTCCAACTATGTGACATGCAAGAATTGGACTTATAGACTATCAAATGTTACAAAGTCAAGTTATAACATAAAATAAGCTTGTTAAAAAACTACTAGAATTGAAACAAGTATAAGAGATAGTTGTTTGCCAATGATGTTAATACAAGAAATCTCACATGTTGTAATTTAAAAGTTCTTAGAGACAAAGAACTACTCATTTTGACCTAGTACACAAATCTCATAAGGCCAACAAAAACACTTAGTTTTAGTGAGTGTCAATATGCTATGATGTTGGTGGATGATTACACTTGATATACTTGAGTGTATTTTCTAAAAGATAAAAGTGAGGCTTTACAAAAAAGTATTATATTTTTTGACATAAAAAATGAGGAGTTTGATAATTTTTTTTAAGAGTTTGAGAAGTGAAAATGGCAGTGAATTTAACTCCACTAATTTCTTAACCTTTTGCCATGAAAAATGTAGCAAAAGACAATACAAATGTCCAAAAACCCAGGAACAAAATGTAGTGGCTGAAAGGGAGCTAGATCACCTCAATGAGCTTGTCATGGATACATGACAAGAATTTTCCACGTGAGTTATGGTAAAAAGCAATTCAGTGTGCTTGCCATGTAATTAGTAAGGTACCTCCATGTCCAGGCAAAGAGAAATCTCCATTTGAGCTACTTTATAGGAAAAAGCTAGAAGTAGACTATTTTAGAGTCTTTGGAGCCTTATACTATGTACATATTTTGAAGATGGTAAAAGGCAAAGAAATGTATCTTTGTTGGCTTTGACCCTTGTACAAAATGGTGGAAGTGTATGGATACGAGCACCAAGAAATTTGTCACATCCAGAAATGTGGTATTTTATGAGATTTCTTCTTGGAGTGTTGAAAAAAAGGTTGTTTACACCGGTGACTTCAAAGGAGAAGTTTTGCCAACTTTAGATGCAAATTCACAACCAACTATTGACAATGATCAACAAAAAGTTAATTATGAAATACGAGAAAATTAGTGTTTTGTTACTCATGCTTTCTTTAATGAACCTTTATAGTGCATAACTCATATTTTTTTAGTGCATTACATTGAACTTATTTTGATATTTATAATTTGTTTAAATTGATGAATTAATTAAAATTTGTTTTAGTGGGACTATTGTGGTTTTAATTTTAAATTCTAGTAAATTTTCATAATTTTTGTCCACTTTGACATTCTATATTGCACATGCCATATCTTAAGATCCTAAACTTGGAGTCATACATTCTTGGTGTTCCTGGAAAGCTATGACAAAGCTATACAACTTCTTTGTTGAGATTTTTACCCAATTTAGATGTCTCAAGGTCCAAAAATGTGTCACCATGTTGCAACTCTACCCTTGGGTTTATTTTAAGAACTTATTGTATAAGAAGTTTAACCTTGTTAATTAGTTGATTAGTGGGTTGGGCCTTGTAAAATTTTGATTAGGCCCACTATCTTAGTCTATTAGGTGTTATGAAACTTGTTATCACTTTCACTTATTTTTCAAGTTTTAGAGTTACTTTTTCTACAAGTTTCTCTAAAATTCAATCTTTCTCTCTTTCTTTTTCTCTCTCTCTCTGATTTTCTTTCTATATTTTTTTAATGAATGAACTACAACAACTTGATGGAGATGAGTGGCTAGTTTGTATAATCAATTAAAGATTCCATGAATTGTAGTAAAACTTTAGTTCTTAATCTATTTTTATTGTATGAATTATTTTCATCTTCTTCTCTATTCTAGATCCATTAATTTTTCACTTTTCATGATTATGAATTATGTTCTAATAGATCTGAAACAAATTTGAAGATTAATTTTGGATCTAGATTTATATCTAGATTTGAAATAACCTAAATCATCTAAATCAATCGTTCATCATTTTTGAATTTCACGAAAATTGTGAGATAGCGATTGTGTCTCATGTTTTTATGAAATTTAGTAGATCTAGATTTAGATTTACATTTTTATTGCGTTCTTTGATTTAAGGTTGATTGAATTTGGATTATATATTGAACCATGGCAATTTCACTATAAGGATTAAAATCTTGAATTGATACATTTTTGGTTGAAATTTTCAATTAATTTTTGTTTTACATTTTAATATTTCAATTATTGTTTTGTTGACATAGGTTGTTTCCTATATTACAAATCTTAGGAAAAACTAGTAATTTTTTTTTTCACTCATTTGGCAATTTTATTAAAATGGCACCATTGCCGGGGATATAAGTTATTGTTCTTGATTTTATCATGCCTACTAATTTTTCATTAAATTGCTTTTGTATATATTGACCCTAATTCTAACCATTTTTGTTGAGTTTTATAATTTTGTGTAATATTTTCTTTTAAGTACTTTTGAGAGTTTTCACTTTGGGTTGAAATTTTTTCTCCAAAGGTAAAATATCATTCTGAGCAAACATACTCCCTTTGGATGTTACCTAGTTGGAAAATTGTCAAATTCTATCATTTAGACTACTTTTTCAATTTTTTTACTATTTTTGATATTTTTAAAAATTACAAAAAAATACAGAAAATAGAAAACTTGATAGGAAATGATATTATAGTAGTCTTGTATTTTTAAAAATTCATTTGGTATTGTTGCATGTTATAGGTTCTCTTAGTTAAATATTGACTTTATGATTGACTTTTGTCTTTTCTATTGACTTTCATTATTTTGCATTGTTTAGCATTGTTAGTCTTATTTTTATTTTTAATTATAATTTTAGACTTGTTTCCATTGTTAATTAGTTATGGATTATTTTTTGATCGGGTTGATCTTCTTAGTCCAATAATTAGTCATTTGTGCTAATGTTGTTCGAACTTATTATAATCTTTCACAGCAACAATATTTTAATCCATACTTTGGTCAACAATATGAACCTCAACAACAATATTATGATCTTTTGTTACAACATTATTATGCTTCATACTATGAGAGGTATAGCTCTTATTGGATAGTCCATCATTGGAGTCATATTGAAGATTATGTTCAACCATTGCCTATGTAGAGTAGTGGAGTTACATTGAAGGATTTGATAAACTGGATAGCTACAAAAAATAGGTAGTTTATGATGGAAAAGATGGAACAATTTGAGTAAGATTCTAATGTTGAAACTCAACATTTGCAAACATAGATTGAATAGTTGACTACAAGTGTCAACCAAACATCTAAAATGGAGGAGCAGATGGAGGAGTAAATGGAGGATTTTCCTTTGGTCAAATCATGAGAATATCTTGAAAATTACCTTCCTGTAATTTATTTTGAACTTGTCTTGTTTGTAGCATTATAAACTTCATATGAAATATTTTATATTTATATTAAAGACAACGCAAATTTAAAGTGTAAAGAGGAAAGTGAAGACCTACTTTCCAACCATGAGCATCACGAGGGAGTTTTATCCCTTTTGATTTTAATATTTGTTGTCTTTATTGTTGATTTTATTCTTTCATTAGGGATAATGTAAATTTTAAGTGTTGGAGAGATTTGTTGTTTTTATTAAAAAATTTAATGTTTATATATTTTGTATATTGTATTCTATTTATGTTTGCTATTTTTGTTTTCTGTTTATATTATCTCTTTTTGTTTATTTTATCTCTTTTTATTATGTATTGTATCTATTTCTTTTTCCACATTTTATAATATGTATTTATTTTCTATTTCTGTATTATATTCTTGTGTCTATATATATTTTTTGTTCATATTTGTTTTACTGTTGTATGTTTACTTTGGTATTTTTTCGTGTTTTTATTTCTTTTTCTATTTTATTGTATCGATTTTATGTATTATGTTCTATTTTTGTTTTCTTTCTTCACTATATTTTTCTATATTTTATTTCTATTTTTAATTTTATAATCTATATTTTTGCTACAGTATTAATAAAATATTGTAGCAAAAAGCTATAAATATTTTTTTAAATACAATATTTATGGATTTTTTTAAATATTAAAAGTTATAGATGTAAGGATCAAATATTAAGTCAATTTTATAAAACTTATTACTCATTTTGAATGTAAGTATTTATTCTAATTAGAAATTCTCATTATAACCTAAAATTTGTGACTAATTTAATAGTTAAATTATAATATTTTCTCCATGTTAACCATCTATGACAAACCAATTTCATAAATTATCTCATCAATAATTCATAATTTTTTATCCATGTTTACCGCCCACCAATTAACCTTTATATATAAATATTTTTAATAGATTGTTGTGTATATTAACCTGATTCATAATTGCAATGCATCAAAGAGTTAATAAATTCACCAAATCATAAGCAAATGTGATGCAATAATAAAATTACTAAGATGAATAGATAAAACCATCATTTGTTAGCCAAGTTAAATCACACGTCATAAGAAAATGATAATGTTTGATAAAGGATGGTTCATAAATTAAACTTGGTTAAAAAAATCGAAAGACATTTAGTTAGATAGGATCAATGAATGATCACATAGGTTGATGGCCTAAATTGATGACTTTCATTGCACTTGGGAAGGGTGTGTGTTTAAGATCTCCTCAAGTAGGAAAATCTACTTTATAATTTGTGATAGTGGGTTCCTACATTAGTGTGACCTCCTCTACCATGTCCCTTAACCAAAAAATTTCCTCGGTAACCAATTTAAAAGTAAAAATTATAATATTTTCACCATGTTAATCATCTATGACAAAGAAAACTGATTTCCTAAAATATATCATCAATAATGTATAGCCTCTTATCTATGTTAGCCTTCTACCACTTAGTCTCTTTATACAAAAAAAAAAAATCATTTTTATCTATATTATATGATACTTAATTGCAATCTATCAAAATGTTGCTAAATTGACTAAATCATGAGCAAATGTGATTTAATACAAATTAAAGAAAAGTAATGAGATGAATAGCTAAAATCACCTGTTCAATGTTGAGTCCCACATCGAAAGCAAATGAGAGCTTTTGATAGAGAATAGTTTATAAATTAAACTTGATTTGCTACATTAAAAGATACTTACCTGGATGGGGTCAATGGATGATCATTAAGGTCCATGGCCTAGATTTGATGACCTCCATTGCACTTGGGAGGGGTGTTAATCTAAGGTCTCCTCAAGTAGGAGAGCCTACATCATAATTTGTGGCAGTAGGGGCCTGCGTTCGCGCAACCCCTTCCAATATTAATACAATGTTTATGCTTATGTACGTAAGTTTTGATTCTTATTAGGAATTTCTTTCTCTAACCAAAAATATTTTTTTATGACTAATTTAATAGTTAAATTATAATATTTTCTCCATTCTAACCATTTACACAAAAATACCAATTTCATAAATCATCTTGTCAATAATTTATAACTTTTTCTCCATATTAGTCATCTTCCACTTAACCAAAAAAAAATAATTAATACATTTTTATGTGTATTAATTTGTTTTGTAATTGCAATGCATCAAAATGTGAATAAATTCAGCAAATCATGAGAAAATGCGATGTAAGACATTAAAGAAAAGTAATGCAATGAATAGCTAAAACCATTGTTGGTGTGCCAAGTTGAGTCCCACATCAGAAGCAGGTTGGAGTAAATGGATGACTAGGAAGGTCTATGGCCTAGATTGATGAGATCCATTTAGGGATGAAAAAAACACTAGTACTTACAAATATCTGTGGATAAAAATTGTTAAGGGTTTTAAATGGATAATTAAATGTATACCCGCTTAATAATGGGACAGAGATGGGTACTAAGGTATTTGTATTTGTAGATACCCACACTTTAAAAATTTTAACAATATTTTAATTATTATATAAAGTAATTTTATTTAATTAATTTGAACTATGAATATATATATATATGTCATAATTATTTATATTAGTATAAATATTTTTTATAAATATATTTTTTTAAAGTTATTTATTTTTAATTTAATTTATTTATTTTTATTTTTTTCTTAAAAACTTCACATTTTAACAAATATATTCATGGTTACTAGTGAATACCCACAAATTTATAGAAAATTCACAAATATCCATTAACTAGACATTCATATTAAACAAGTAGGGTAATGATAATCTACTAATCACACCCACTTTGATCCATTCCCATCCCTACCCGCATTACACTTGGGAGGGGTGTGTGAGTCTAAGATCTCCTTTAGTAGAATAACCTATATCATAATTTGTGATAGTAGGTACATTTTTTGAGATTGTCTCCAACCTTAATACGATGCTTACTTTTATTTATTTATTTTATCATTGACTAATTTTCATAAAATGTATATTCTTTTATTATTGTTTAAATGCACCATTTATGTGTGTTCTATATTGAGCAAGACTTTCAAAGTTGTATCTTTCACTAATTACCCTTATATCTATGCTAAGAGCATGACTTGCAAAATTCTGACATTTCCTAATTGTTTATCTACTAGTAAGTATAACAATAGCCTAACCATTAAGGCAATTTGTTCTATTCAATTTGATGTTTTCATTTACTTGGTGTTTTTTAAGATTTTATCCATAAATTGAAATGTTTTCTATTTCAACATGAACTTTAGCTTAGTCATAAATTGAATGTCATCTATTTCAACATTTCATGATTAGATGTCTATTGTATCCATCAAATACATTTCTTAGGATTATGTATGATTGGAAAATTAAATATTCTTTTTTAAAGATTTTGATTCTTTTTTTTGGTGAGGTTTTACTTTTGAAACTCATATAGTAGTTAGATCTACTTTGCACTTCTAGAAAATGATCAAAACTTTGATACTTTCCTTTAAGGTTTGTTTCCTCTATTTCGTCAAGGAAAAATGTATTAATATTATTAATATTGTTTACTAGGTGGAAAATGATTATTAAAGTAAAAAATTCATGCTAACATTCTCCATGTTAATGTATTGTATTACGTATATTTGATATATATGCATCATATTTACATGGGAGATATTAGATTACAAATTTTATTGAGAGAAATTTATAGTTAAAAATATATGGAGAAAGCTTTGTTCAACAAAGTTATTTTTGTGAAAAAAAAATAAAGTAATATAAACCTAGACTCAACTTCACACAATTTATGTTAAGGATATGCTTCATCTTAAAGTCATATGTAGCAAATGAGTCCGACATCCAATGCTAGTATACAAAATTTATATGTTTTATAAGTTAATGTGACTGAATCTCGCATTATAAGGAACTAAGAGTTGTTAATGGGAGCTAGTGTATAAAGAAAGTTTGATTAGCACTCCATATATTTGTATAGATTTGTTTGTGGTGAAATATATTTGTATAGATGAAACTATTGGTTTAGTTTTCTCTATGTTGTATTTTATCACGATCATAATTCTATGTTCATGACTATTACCTTCTATTGTGGGATGGTAGGTAAGAAGAATATGGAACACATGATTAGTTAATAAAATCAAGTTGTTATGATTATTGCAACCCAAAAATTTTTGATCTCGTGACCTATGATTTAGACATCCTTTTAAAGATCTCATCAATTAAGAAATGTCTGGACACCAGACTAATCGTTAATTAATGGTTTTGAAAAATGGTTCATGGAGTCGCCACCAATGTTTTACTCAAAACATTGGAAAAAAGAAAAAGTTTTTAAAAATCTAATAATGGCCTTGATAACCAGAATTGGGTTCGGGGGTCGGTTACGTGTAGAGAAGGTATTAAGCACCCCTACAGCACCCCTATAACGCCCTCAATCGGTAAATTATGATGAAGTTAACGTGATAAGAATTAATAAATTAAATATTAGATCCCTATTAATATTTATTTACATGCTATAAATTTAAATTACACGATTGATCCTAAAATGTCTACATGGTTGCTTTTATTATAACAATATTTAGGATGAGGGAATAGAGAAAAGAGAAAGGAATTGAGTGAAATACCTCTTAAACGAGCTTTACTGAATTTTCAAATATGGAGATCTTTTAGGTGCTTTGTGGAAACCTTTCACACTACAATATGCCTCACAAAATCTCAAGAAATACAAAAAGAGAGAAAGAGAGGAATTTCGAGCTCTAAGGAGTCTTGGACAAAATTTTGTGGCTTTGAGAACTGTGCCCAAGTTTGCTATTTATAGACATCAGAAATTGGCTAAAACGGTCCGTTCTAAAATCGGAACGGCCCGTTCTGGATCTGACCGTTATGTGTTAATTTTGTAACTGGAACGACCCGTTCTTAAATTAGAACGGTCCATTCCACAGATGAGTTTAACACATAACTGACCATGCTAGAACGGCCGTTCCAACCAAGGGTTTGTAGGCCTTTTGAATAACTTAGAACGACCAGTTCTAGTTTAGGAAGGACCCGTTCCAAACTTAGGTTTTAGCCCTTTTTTGGGAACTTGGAACGGCCCGTTCTAGTTTAGGAACTGCCCGTTCCAAACTAGGGTTTTAGGCCCTTTTAGGAACTTGGAACTGCCCGTTCCCAAATTAGGATGACCCGTTCCAGTTTTGCAACAGCCCGTTCTTGGCTACTAAAACCAGCTTGTTTGGGCTTTTAGGCCTTCTGATGTCATGTCCTGTTGTTTCTATACTTGGAAGTTCCTTTTCTTTGATAATGGAAGTCCATTTCCTTGTTTGTATGCCCCCTAGACGAAATTGGGTGTCTACAGCTGCCCCTCTTTACTTGTCCTTTGGAATATTTATGTATTGCTTTTCCAAAGGCAAGTAAACACGTAGACATTTCGTTTGAGTCTTCTCCTCGTCTCTTTGGTATTGGTGCTTCTGCATTGTTTCCCTTGGATAGGTGTATTTGCTCGTATCCTCGCCTTCTAGAGTAGTTGAGTGTTGGTTATGTATTCTATTGGATAACAAGGTTGACAAACTGTACACTTGATCTTTAGTCTTTGAGTAGATGTTCCATGCTATTTGCTCTAATTGCTTCTCTTGTGATAATAAGTTGGAGATCTGGATCTTCGGCCTGCTGATGTTGATTATTGTTGTGCTGGCCTCTCCAGGTCGCCTACTGATGTTGTGAGTATTGTTGTGCCAGCCTCTCCAGGTCGCCTGCTGATGTTGTGAGTATTGTTGTGCCGGCCTCTCCAGGCCGCCTCCTAATATTGTGAGTATTGTTGTACCAACCTCTTCAGGTCGCCTGCTGATGTTGAGTATTGTTGTGCCGGCCTCTCCAGGCTGCCTGCTGAATGCTGAGTATTATTATGGTTGGCCTCTCCAGGCTGCCTGTTGAGTATTATTATGCTTAGCCTCTCTAGGCTGTCTACTGATGGTGAGTATTATTATGTCTGGCCTCTCCAGGCTGGCTACTGATGGTGAGTATTATTATTCCTGGCTTCTCCAGGCTGGCTGCTGATGGTGAATATTATTATGTCGGCCTCTCCAGGCTGGCTGCTAACATTGTCATTTGATTTGCCCCCTTTTCTTTGGCGAGGACGTCTGATGAAGACGAGGATTGCTGGTAGGTGGTGTCCTTGTGCTGGTGGGCAGAGGAGTAGATGGGTGATAAGGATTCTAGTGTTGTCCCTGCCATGTGAGTATTGTGATGCCTCTCCAGGCGTTGTTTGTGGTAGTTTTTTTTTTCTTCTGAATTTCATTTTTGTTTAGCTTTGGCTCTTTCATGTTTGAAACTTGTTTTTTTCTGCTATTTTTTAAATGCTTCGGCTTTTTCAACATTTACGAAGCTTGCCTTTTTCTCATATTGTTACTTTTTCTCTTTATTGTCATCGTGGGTGGAGGGATCTATTTTCATGATGTTATTTGTTGAATCATTATTGATGAGTATTATTTTGGAAGCCACTTCTGGCTTTGGTTAGGGAGCCATTTCTGGTCTTGGCATTCTCTTGGATCATCCTTCATTTGGTTGAGAAGTGAGGCGCGATGGCCTCTTTCTGCTTATGGGCTTGCTTATTTGGTTGATTCCATTCTATTCCACTGTTGATATGTCTTTGCTTAGTGGGCACATAAAATACTTAGGGTTGCTGTTTGACACCGCTTCGGCTCATGCTTGGCTATTGAGCTTTTACGAGTTCTTTGTCTTGATGACTCCTTCTGACCCATAGCAAGTAGAATGCATGGATGCATGGATGCAATGAAAATCCAAGATAGGAATGATTTTTTTTTGTGTAACGCCCTTCCATATGCCCCTACCTCATATGCATGCAATGCAATTTATGCTCATGTGTTTGTTCCTAAATATGTAATTCAATTTT